ACACGGGTTTCCCCGCGATCGGAATCCTCTGGCAGAGGCTGGAGAATCCTGCGCTTCGGGCAGCTCTGAAAATGTCGCCCGGGCAGAAGGGTGTTCTCGTGCGGAAAGTCGACCCGACGTCTCGAGCCCATGGGGTGCTACAGCAAGGGGATGTGATTATGTCATTTGATAATGTACCCATCGCCAGCGACGGCACTGTGCCTTTCCGAACCGGCGAGCGCATCTCCTACGGGTTTCTGGTCAGCCAAAAGTTTTCCGGCGAGGTTGCCCGGCTGGAAATTCTCCGCGACGGGCAGCTGATGAAGGTTCAGGTGCAGCTGAAGCCGCCGAAACGACTCATTCCGGTGCACACGGGGGGCAAACCGCCAACGTTTCTGATCGTGGCAGGGCTGGTTTTTACGCCGGCTGTGCAGCCGTTTTTGCAGTCAGAGTATGGGAGCGAGTTTGAGTTTGAGTCGCCGGTTTCGCTGCTTCACAAGCTGCTGCATGGGCATGCGGAGCATGAGGACGAAGAGGTGGTGGTGTTGAGTCAGGTGAGAAGCGGTTTAGGCAGGTGAGAGGAGAGCAGGGAAGGTACAGAACGGTTGAGGCAGGTTGTATGTGGTAAGTGGCTCCAATTGATTCGCTGGTTTCGCTGTTGCAGAAGCTGCTGCATGGGCATGCGGAGCACATGTGTCCCCTGCCTTCTCCCCACTCCCTCACCCCCTCCAGGTGCTAGCCCATGAAGCCAACATAGGGTATGAGGATATCACCAACACGTGCCTCGTGTCTCTCAACGGCACGCGGGTGCGCAACGTGCGACAGCTGGCAGCGCTGGTGGACGCGTGCACATCAGACTGGGAGAGCCAGCCGTTCATGCAGTTTGAGTTGGAGCACCGGCAGCTGGTGGTGCTGGAAACGAAGAGCGTGCGGGCTGCCACGGCTGATGCCATGGCGGATCACAGCATTCCCTCGGACCGATCGGAGGATCTACGGTCCGCGATGCCGGTTGCGGCTGCGGCTGCAGCAGCAGCAGAAACGCCAGGAGCAGCAGCAGGGACGGCAGTAGAAACAGCAGCAGCAGCAGCATTGGTGGTGGAAGTTGGTGGTGAATCTGGATCGTCGTCAAGTGGGGAGGACGAGAGTTCAGGGAAAGCCATTCGCATGAGTGATGCTGATGTGAGGGTTGCTGCGGCAGTGCAGGTTGCAGCGAAGGGCAAAAAGCAGAAGCAGAGGAAGGGCAGAAAGTGAAAAGGCAGGAACAGAGGACAAGGAAGGAGTTGAGAAAGGGCAGTGAAGGGCGGTTAAAGGCTGGAAGTAAAAGGGTAAGTGGGGAGCAAGTCTGGCTGGTGCTATGATTAGATGGGGAAATAAGCGGAGCAGTAGGTTACCAGTGTAGTAACTGTTGGCAGGTTTTTAGCCTTGGGTAGTGTTACACATGGATCGAGGCACTTGCATGGCAATGCTGTTGCTTCCAGTTTTGTTTATCCCACTGATGGCTCCACCAAGGTGCATTTCGTGTCAAAAGACAGCTAGGATGATGTGCGCTAGCCACGCGTAGCACTAGCCGTGAGCGCCCGCGACTGTGCGATATGAATACGTATGCTGAAATATACAGATGTTCTGGCTTAGAGGCCCTTCCTAAAAGAGTCCCATTTCCTCAACGAGTAGATTTTTCACATAAGTCCTAGATGTATCCCCTCCTCTACAGTCCCATTTTTGGCGGGAAATCTTGCATCTTGACTGAATCATTGTGCGAATCAGTTCTGCAGCCAATCAGAGGACGCAAATCGAACCTGTCAGAACAATAAGAGAAAATAAAACGAAAGGAAGTTTTGATTCAATATTTAGTGCTAGCAGCTGTGTTTGTCTGGTTATCTTGACCTCTCTTGCGTCTACATCCTGTCGCGCGGTTCCCCGCGAGGGGAGGCGGCAGCGTCTGGGGATATTCCGCTGGGAATGCAGCAGTCGTGGACGGGGTTAACAGTGGTGGGGGTACCTATTGGAGAGGAGGATTGGGAGGTGGCGCGCTTGAGGGAGAGACTTTTGCAGCTGCGATCACCTCTACCTTGGCTTCCTATTTTGAACCACCCCCAGATTGCCTCCCACTTGTTGGCTGTTGCCGTATCTGCGCGGCCGCTCTTCTTGACTCGCACTGTTCCCCCTCGTCCTGAGGTTCTTGACGCTTTCAGAGATTGGGATGGGGCTTTGGAAGAGTGCTTTGAGCAACTTTTCCCGCCAGACACTTGGGACTTCAGTCCTGATAGGTCGCGCATGGCTCACCTGCAGCTGCACCTCCCGGCTCGTTTGGGCGGGTTTGGCATTCGTTCAGCAGCAACTCTTAGCCCTCTCTCTTACGTCTGTGGGTGGTGCCAGGCTGCGAGTGCTGTTGTCAAGCTGGAAGTAGCGGGCGAGGAGCAGATGTTCAGTGAGTTCTTCCGCACTCCGCCGGCTGGGGATTTACTGGACCCTTGGTTTACCAAGGCCCTTGACCAGCTCCCGCCTGTTGTCAGGCAGGAATTGCCGAGTTTGGGGCTCTGCACTACAAATCCCCCCCTCCAACTTTTCCCAGCGCAGCAGCGTCGCTTGGCGGTTGAAAGTCTTCAGTCTCTGCGGCGCATGGCCCGCGATGATGCTACCTTGGCCCGTTTGACTTCCCTTCAGGGCCCGGGTTCGGCAGCATGGGTGTCCGCAGTTCCAGCGCATGATGACGCAACTTTCACCCCTGTGGAGTGGGGCATTTCGACGGCAATCCGTTTGGGCCTTCCCGTCCACCAGCTTCTGGTCGCTGGCAAGTGTGTTTGCGGTGTGGAGTTCAAGGACCCGTCAGATCCGCACCATGCTCTTCGGTGCAAGTACCAGTACGCCCCGTCTCGTGTTCATGATGCAGTGAAGCTCGTTGTTGCTAAGATAGCCAAGGCATCGGGTGGGGTGGTTACGATCGAGGATGACACGCTTCTGCCGGGGAAGAGAGTGGATGTGGCGGTTAGGAAACCAATGGACGGGGAAAAACATGCGCTCGAGGTGAGCGTCGTGGATCCGGTTTCGCTACCGGTGCAGCAGCATGGGCAGTGTGGGCGGACAGTAGGTTTTGCTGCCAAGGAGCGAGAGAAGAGGAAGGCGACGGATTATCAACCTTTTCTGCGGCAGCACAGGGGGGTTCGTTTCTTCCCGTTGATTCTTGAGACTTGGGGTTGCTTGGGGGGAAGCTTTCGACAGTGGTTACGGCAGCAGGGGGAGGTTCAAGTAAAGGTGGCTCTTAACAAAGGTGTGGGAAGGGGCAACAGCTCGGGTTTCTCGGAATACTTGGTGGGGTCCTTGACAGCCGCGGTAGGGGTAGCTTTGCAGAAGGCACAGGCTCGGGTGATTCTTTTGCGGGCGGCATACACGTTGGGTCAGTCCGAGGCGGAGTGGGTGGAGCGAGGGGGTGGGGAGCAGGAGTTTGGAGAGGGAGCACCATGGGTGGACGTGCCCTACTTGGTCGACATGCGGCTGTAGATGTCTTAGGAAGCAATACTTTGTTTCGGGTTTTGGCGATGGTCTTTTGATGTTTGAGGTAGTAAGACACTTCTAGGAAGGGTTTATGCATGTCTGTATGCTTGTTGAAATCTCGCTTACAGTGTAAAACAAAAAAATGTTGTCTTCATTTCAGCCTTAAACATAATTTATTTTGTATTTTTCTTCCCGTTTGTCCTACGACACTGATCAACGCAGCGAACCGTGCGACGAGAAGTTGAGGACAGCGTTGTCCGAATGTACGTATGTGACAGAAAAGCACGAATAGTAGCAAAGGAAAATCGCTCTTCATGCAATTTTCCTTTTATGGGACTATAAGTTCCCTATTGCCCGGGTTTTTTGAGTTTTCCACAAAGGCCCGCTACGCGCGTGTTTTTCACTGGGACTCTAATCAAGAACATCTGTAGCTGGATACAATAACGATTGCCGATTTCGTAACACGCCTCGCAGCCACATTCCCTGGTAAGGGCCATGTTGCCACAAATGACTGATCTAGCGACTGTGCGATTGACTCGTAGGATGCGAAGCTACGTGTAGTTACCCTGCTGACGTGGGAGCTGGCATCACACAGGCCCACGGGGAGCCATCATTCGTGACAAAGATTCTCATTCAAGATATGGTCGCCAGCGACAGCAAAATGGCAGGTCCAGCACCTTGCGCGTGTGCGAGAGTCGCTGATTTTCATCGCAAAGCAATCAATCTCATTGCGTTACGCATCGCGGCGCAATCTGGGAACCATAAGGTAACCAAGCTGGCACCTTGCGCGTACAATCAGCGAAAGCCTGGCGCCTGCCAAATCGACCGTCTCACTGCGGCGGATACGTTTCCATTCCATTCTCGTGCGACAAGTGACGTTCATATTGGAGGCCCCAATTTCATACCGGATACAGTCAGTACATGTCTGTGTGTGTCGCATTCCGTGGGAGATGTACAATACACATGATGCCTGTTTGAGCCACTCTCGGTTGCCTTGTAATGGTAACTTATAATCTGTAACATGGTTTCGCACAAATTTCGTCAATTCGCAGCTAGCTAAAAAGGATTCGCAGGTGCCTATATAAAAAATCTGTAACAACATCCGTTGACATTTGACTTTAGTCTCTTCATTTTGACTTCAGTCTGTTCCTTACTATTGGTTCATAAACACGCGACGCGCTTGTAACGTGGGTGCAACAGGCTGGGGAAAAAACCTCGGGTGCAGCGTTTCCATCCGGTGCAGAGCAAATTCGCCTGCATGGGGTGGGCATCATGTGTAATGCTGTAAAGCTGATCCGAAGAGCTGTCCGAACGAGCAGCACGCGCCATCCAGCAAGAATACCACCCACCCTGAATCGCACAGCTATTCAAAACGATCGCCACGGAGACTGTAAATCCCTGCTCCCTGAGTCCCAGAAATTCGTCCCATCGAGCAGAGTTGAGTTTCGAGTCCACATTGCGATGGAGGAATGGAACAACTCGTCATAAATCCTTCCAGCATTTCTTATGTGCTTAGCTCGAACGTCGCAATGCAGTCCTACATGAGGCATGAAGGCACGGAGCAGCACCAGCATCAGCAGCCGGAGACGCGAAGTATCAGGCTTCACCAGCACGCGCGCCCGCAAGCCTTACAGGTGCAGCGGCGATGTGCGCTTGACGCGCTAACGGCCCCCCGCGAAAGCTCCCTCAGCATGATTCCGCCCTCCCGCCCTGGACCGCAGGCGCGGAAACCGCACCTTTCCTTGAACGTCCCTTCCCCCTCGTCACTTCCGCGAAATATCTCCCCCTCCCGCCCGCCGCAAGCCCCCGCAACTTGTACCGCCGCGGCGTCTCACGGCATCTACTCCCCCGGCCCCACCTCCGCTCCCGCGGGTCCTCCGCACCTTCCGCCTTCCGCCTCGCTTCTGCGCCGCGCATCCGCGCCGACTCTTCCAGAGCCGCAGCAGACCATCACGGCGGTGCTTACGAGCGCTTGCGCCGCCCGAGCTTCTCACAGCTGCGGAATGCAAGGTGACGGGGCGACTCGTCCGCGGCAGGAGCAGCAGAGTGAGCAGCAGAAGGAGAAGGAACAGCGGAACGACCGCGTGAGACTCTGCGAGCAGCGGAAGGAGCACCGTGGGAGCGGAGAGACGCCTGCGCGTGACCCGCAGCCCCAGCAGGTGCTTCCTCTCACGACCGATGAACAATGGGAACGGATCTTGGCGACGCGACGAGAAACGCGGCGCAGTGCTACTACTGGAATTAGTATGGATAGTAACGAAGCTGGCCCTTTCAGAGTTAGGGAGACTGCTGCTGCAATTGCGGGGAAGAGAACCCCGACGGCGCGAGTGCAACTACAGCGCTCTGGCGGCAGCTGTGACGTCTGGCGACTCGTCTCGTCGATGGACGCGCGCGAATGGGACTCCCCGCCGACGGGAACTCGCTCCGCGCGGGCGGACCGTGACGGCGCGCGGATGGGGTGCGCTGCCGCTACCGGCACCGCCACGGGGAAGCGGTCGGCACGCCTGGCGAGGAGCGCCGGGAGCTGCGACATGGCGCGGGTGGTGCAGATGCTAGAGGACGAGATGGATCGCGAGGAGAGGGACCGGGAGGAGCGCGTCGCGCGAAAGGTTTGTGCTTCCGTCACGGGCACCGCCGCGGGGAAGCGGTCGGAGCGCCGCCTTGCTGCTGGTGGGGCAACACTGCGGGGGAGCGGCGGGAGCTGCGATATGGCGCGGCTGGTGCAGATGCTGGAGGACGATATGGATCGAGAGGAGCGCGACGCGCGGCGGAATAGAAATATTACCACGAATGATAGCCACAATGTTAGTAACAGCCCTGGAACGCGCAGAAACGAGGGACTGGATTTTGCTGGTGGGAGCTGCGCGCCGCCGTCACGCGGACCGCGGCCCTCCGGACCTTCTAGAACCGAAAGCCCACTTCCGACTCTGCGCGGAAACGAAGGTTCAAATTCTGCTGGTGGAAGCTGCGCGCCACACTCGAGCGTAGCGCGGTCTCGCTGCACAAGTCCACTACCGACTCTGCGCGGAAACGAAGGTTCGGATTCTGCTGAGCGCTGCGCGCCGCAGTCAGGCGTAACGCGGACCTCCGGACCTTCTCGCTGCGTAAGCCCACTCCCGACTTGCAATTCACGGAATTCGCGCAGTCCGACCGACGCGTGCACGAGGCGTGGGCCCCAGGGCTCTCCGCAGGTCTCTCCGCAGGTCTCTCCACACAGCTTTGTGGTTCCGCGCAAGGCTACCGCGACTGAACATGACCGCAAGGTGACCGCGTCTGCTACCGCTACTGAAAGCAGCCGAGCTATTCACTTTGCTAGGAGTCACGACTGGGATTCGGACTCGCCGAACCGCGGAAGAAGTAACGGCGCTGGCGGCGGCGGCGCAGGCAGCGGCAGGACCGTGCTTCGTCGCAGTGGCGCTAGCCAAGATGTCGCACCGTTGATCCGCGATCACGTCGCAGAGGACAGGACGCCGTCGCTTGCGTCGCACGCGAGTTCCAAACATTTAAAATCCGTCGCTCATCGCGTACCTCTGTCGTCGTCGCCGTCGTCTAAAGGAGCACAAGCTTTACCCGTCAAACGCAGCTTGGCGGGTCGGTCGAGCAGCCTGAGCCACAGCGGCGGAAGCTGCGATGTGGCGGAGCTTTTGCGCCACTTGCGGAGCCAACAGGAGGAAGAGTCGGAAGCGGAGGGGGTCGCGCATCTCCGGCGCACTATTTCCCGATCTGTCCGCTTCCCCACCAGCATCAGCGAGTCGTCGCGGTCGCGGGCAGTGCAGCTGGTTGCGCGCGAAGGGGGAACAAGCGACCCGGAAGATGGGAACCGGCGAATCGTCGCTGGCATCAGCGAATCGTCGCGGACAGTGCAGCTGGTTGCGCACGAAGGGGGGAAAGGCGACCTGGAAAAGGGTGGGCAGAGAAGTGGCGGGCGCACTCACTGGCGGTCAAAATCCGGAGATGGTTCTGATAGTTCCCCCTTTGCCCGGGGGGAACGAGAGGCGCGCTCGGAGGCGCAAGGTGAGGCGGACAAACCAGTTTTTCCGTGCACACGTGGCAGAAGCAGAGTGGCGGTTGAAGGGAATTTGGCGAATCTCAGGCGCAGCAGCGGAAGTTGTGACATGTCGCTGCCTTCGTCTACCATCACTCGCCGAGGCGGCGGGGGAGGCGCTGCGGAGAAACATACCAATCAGGACTCGTCCTCGCTTGTGCGAGCTTCGACTACTGCTGCTGCTGGCTCTGCATCTACAGTGCACAACTCAACCATTTCACCGCTTCATCAATCTAACGTTGCTGTCCAAAAGCATACTAGTCAGGAGCACCACCACCAACGCTCCATCTCCTTGTCAGCAGCAGTTTCTGGCTTTGCTCCAAACGAAATCAACAAGGCTACACTCGGTGACGGTATGAATCGCTCTCTAGTAAGGACTGCTGACTGCAACAAGTCATTCACCAATAGGTCTCATCGCAGAATGATATCATGGCCATCCCCAACTCCAAGCCCACTAGAGAGTTCATCACACACCGGCGTCGTGTATTGTCAGTCATCGCCTTATCCAGATATGGATTTCCCTTCCTCCCACATGCCCACCACGGGCGATGCTCCAAGGGCTGGAATCACCCACATCACACCTTCCCCATTCATCCCTTCCTTGGCTGCTGCTGCTTCTGCTGCTGCTGAAGCCAGCAGGACAACCACTGATTTCACCTTGCCGCAACCACAGGCTGTGTCACAAGTGGCTGGTTCGCATTTCAGTGACCTTTCAGAAGACTCACACTCGGGTGTTTCAGGAAGAGACTCCGACTCGGGCGAGCAGGCAGAAGACTCAGACGATGAGTTTGCAAAGTTGTACTGGAAAGCAATGAAACACAGGACAGCAGCTGATGCAGCAGTTTCCACAGCCATGCAGCAGTTGGGAATGGAAGGGAGTGGCATTGTGGCACCGGCACAGAAGCACCCGCGCCAGCTTTTCAAGTCGACTCCGAAATCTCTTTTGAGTCGACTAAAAAACACAGCCATGCAACAACTGGGGCTGGAAGGGAGTGGGCTGAGAGCACAGAATCACGAGCGCCAGCACCAGCAACAGCACCAGCACGAGCACGAAAAAAGCACTCAACAGCAGCGGCAGCAGCAGCAGCAGAAGCAGCAGCACCGCAGGGGCAGTGTCAGCATTTTACGATCACACAGCCACTGCGAGACTATTGACAGAAGCAGCAACCGCAGCAGCAGTGGCAGCGGCAGCAATTCCAGTCCATGTGCACCCGTATCACCCAGAGATGAAAGCAATGGCCTCGACATGAGCAGCATCAGTCTCGACTCGAGCACGTGCACTATCACCCGCCAGGCACATGCCGGCACGCATAAGAAAAGCCCTCGTCGCCGTAGCTTCACCCTCGGTGATGGCAGCAGTGTGAGTAAATTCGCCGCTGGCAACGTCATCGGCAGCACGAGCATTTCAGGTTCTGCCAGCAGCAACGCTGAAAAAACGGATGCAGCTCTGGATAAGAGCAGGAGGAGGAGTGTCCTGAGTTCGGATTTCACCCCTGGTGGTGGCGTTAAGACTGGTTCCGGGTCTCAGGGGAGTGACTGCAAGGTGCAGAGTCGCAGGAGGCACAGTGGGAGCAGTGCCAGTCAGGCAGAGTTCTGGGAAGGAGCGAGCGACCACTCTCGCAGTATTGGTAGCAGCATCAGCAGCAGTAGCTTCAGCAGCAGCAGCAGCAGTAAGCAGTACGTGACTCTGCTACCCCCTTCCTTGTCGAACCCTTGGGCTTCTCAGGCCAGGGAGCTGGCCGCTAGGGGCGATCTGGTTGGAGATCAGAGCATAGGGCGAGGAGGTTCGGCCAGGCTTGTGTCTTTGAAAGAATGTCAGTAACTGAAGTGGTAACAGCAGAAGAGACAGGAACACCAGCACGAGCCGCAGCATCTACTGCTGCAGAGAGTGGCAGGGAAACAGCAGCAGGAAACCCGCATCATAGTGTGCTGCTCCCCTTGCCATTTTCGTGGCCTAGTTTGTTCGTACAGTGAGGCGGTTGCATCACTAACTCCATTTTTCGTGATGGTAGATTAGTGTGGCAATTTCGTTTGTCATTATAATTATAATCATTTACCCCTGCACCAAAGTCTATTTCCAGGTGTACCACCTCACTTGCCAAGCAAGTGATTCGATCTTTGGAAGGTCTGGAATCAAGAAAATGGTATTGGTACCGTAACAACTCAGGTACCGTATTTACCTGGCTGTAACATTCTTTGCATTCGCGGTATCATATAGCAAGCCTCGGCATTCCCTACACCGTCGCCGCTAAACCACTATCAAATGCTGCACCTGTAGGTGACATCTGTGTTTATTGAGCAGAGCAAACAAGCTGCAGCGGAACAGTTTCACTCGTCAGCGCTCTACTGTCACCCCGTACCAGGCCTCTCGATATCAGGGTAAAACACCCTTATGGCCCTTACTATAAGGGTGGGTTTAGGTGATCACCCTTGTTTTTAAAACTTGTTTTCTGAGGCACCCTTAGCCGAAAAAGTGTTCATTTTGTTAACACTGATTTTTAAGACAGGCCTGGTGTACTCGCCCTGATGACAAAGACTAGTGTCGCGTACCACCCTGATGCGATTTCACGGGGGGGGGGGGGGGGGGGTACTGACGAGATTTGGGCCGTGATTAGCGGCGTTTTGCTTGAGTCAGCAGATGTGCGCGTCGCCTTGACGGCTCGCGTCGCCACTGCCACAGGCTCGTCAACTATACCTGGCTCACCTGCAATCTTCCTAGCTGGCAATGCCGCGCAGCGCCACACACACCTGCTTCGTGCAGGAGGTGTGTCCAGCATGGAAGCTTCTTCTTCCCTCCCCAGCAGGCTCCCACCCACCGACCAGTCTCTCCCACGCACCCAACCCAGTCCTCCTCGTCTCATTTCTCAATTCTGCCTCCTCGCTATCTCGTCTGGTCTAGGGTTTGCTTTGCACACCACCCCACCACCACGCTCTCCCAACAGCTAGCGTAGGCCCAGCTCCTGCAACCACCCCTCTGGCCCTCGCCATGGCTGCTGACGAAACCACCGATGGTGACGACGAGGCATGCCGTGAACTCCAAAAATCACCCCCGCGAACGGGCCTCAGCTTTCTACGAACCCCCGCTAAGAAGCTGTCAGATCCGGAGCCCGTAGTTGCTTCAACCGAGGACGAAACCCGCGCAGATGATTCAGGGCCTGACCTGCGCTCACCTGAAGTTTGCACTACCACGGCGGAACCCTCACCTCCAGAAGCGACGGCTACTGAAACGGAGATAGGCGATGCGGCTGGCGACTCTGCGAACAAGAAGCGCAAAGAGTCAAGCGGTGGCAGTGCTACGCAGTGGTGGCGACAACCGAAGCCCTCTGTGAAGCGGGCGGCACGTCCAATCCGACGAGTGGAGGACGAGGGAAGTGATGACGAGGAGGAAGAAGACGGCCTGCCAACTGTCGAAAAGATGGCCCGTTACCCCGAGGTCGCTTTCGCTAAAGCGCATAAGCGATTTAAGACTTCATGGGAGTCTTTGTTTCCGTGGCTAATTCTAACTCGTGATGACGTTGGCTTCCCCATTTTGAGATGCAGCACGTGCTTGGAACATGGAGCTGAAGGCGCGAAAACGGCTTATGGCAAGGGAGGCAGTGGAGGGCGTGACATGCAGAAGGGGAGCATCCGGACGCACCAGCGCTCCACCGCACACCAGGACGCACACGCCGAGATGAAGTCGAAGGAGAGCCGGAAGCTTCGTCAAACGCTGCTGAGCGAGTTCGAGGGGTTGGATCGCAGCACTCTTCACATCATCACTGCTCTCAAGACTACCGTGTACATATGCAAGTCGGAGGCGCCAATCACCTCCTACGTGGGCACCATCAAGTTCATGGCCGAGCTCGGAGTCCCGAACCTTCCCTTGGATTCCAAGGGAAACTACTTTTCGGAGTAAGTTTCAGGGTACTTGGTGTCGTTGTACTGGTTCCGTTACAACTGTCTTGATTGATCACGTGCTAACCTCTGTGCTTGTATCATACAGGTACGGTTTCGGGGAGCTGCTAGAAGCTGCAGCAAAGTACATGCGGCAAGAGCAACTGAAGCAGATCGAGGCGAGCCCGTACATCTCCATTCAGCTCGATGAGAGTACTGACAAGGCGCGCGGCAAGCACATGATCGTCTACGTCCACTTCATGAAGGAGGGAGCGAGCGTCTGCGAGTTCCTCACGCTGCTGACAGTTGACAAGTGTGACGCGGCAAGTCTAGTCGACGTGCTACTGACCCACCTTGACGCCGTGGGCATGGACGTGTCCAAGATTGTTGGAATCAGCACCGACGGCGCCAGAGTAATGACGGGCACCAGCAATGGTGTTGTGGCACGACTCCGGCAGCGGAATCCCTATCTCGTGTCGTGCCACTGCATCGCACATCGGTAAGTCCGTCATTGTTACTGGCTTTATGGCAGGTGTGTGTTGATCATGTACTGCCACTCACTTCAATCGCTCGTTTCCTCCGTTCTACCTTGAGCAGGGAGGCGTTGGCCGCGAAGGATGCCGCTGAGAAGGTGACGGAGTTCAACATTATAGACCAGGCGGTGCGCAACGTGGCGGAGCAGCTTTCTAGGTCGAGCAACTGGCACCGGCGATTCGAGCACCTTCAGGAGTACATCTGCGAAACCAACCTGGAGCTGCAGGGGATCCACGACGTGCGATGGCTCTCTAGAGGAGAGGCAGTCAAGCGGTTTGCCAAGGTTCTGCCGGCGACAATCGTCCTGCTGCACGATTTCAAGCACGCGCTATACGAAACGGTCACCTCTTTCAAATTCCACTTCATGCTTTTCTTCCTTGCAGACATTCTTGCCGTGCTCAACGAGCTCAACGCCAAGTTCCAGAAGCAGCAGGTGACATGTGGAGTGTTTTGGTTGTACATATAGGCGTTTGTGTCACTGCCATGTTCCCGGTTGGTGTGCGCCGTTCTGACCCATTGTACATCAACTTCTGGCAGCAACTATTCATCCCACGCCCACTCACAGGTTGACATCACTGTGGTCGCGGGGGAGGTGTCACTCGCTTGCCGGACGATCGAGGTGCGTTACGTGGACTGCGAGGATCGTTTCGGCAACGATCAGTCGCCCCTGCTCTGCGCGTTCCTGAAGAAACACGGCAACCCCCAGCACCGCGAAGTCACCGTCCAAGGCGTGGACCAGAACGGCGAAGCTGCAGAGCACGAGTTCGTGCTTCACGAGCGCAAGATCCCAGGCCATAAGACTGGCGGGGACTACTATTCCTGCAAGGTGGTGTGCCAGGAGTTTGCGAGGGTCTGCGTTGCGCGACTGGAGTTCCGCCTAGAAGACCTCAAGAACCTGGCCGGCTCCAAGCTTTTCCGGCCATCGTGCTATCCCGACGACAACGCGCAGCGGATGAAGAAGTGCCGCGAGTGGTTGGGCATGCTAGACCACATGTTTCACCACCGCCTCTGTGGTACGCCACCTGGTTGTGCCTGCAATGTGCTGTCTGCTGTGTGTGTGTGTGTACCTTGGTGTGCTGTTAAACACCTCCTATACGCCCTGATCGCCCCTCTCACTGCTCTGCTCTCCCATCCTGGCAGGTGTGTGCTTCAAGGCGTGCGAGAGGGAGCTACCGTTGTTTCTCCACACCATGGATACCAACCACGGGAACATGAGCTTCCACAAGTCGCTCTCGCTCATGCTCCAGTCAACTGACTACGTGGGAGCGTACCCGAACCTTGTGCAGCTGTGGCAGGCCGTAGCTGTGCTCCCCCTCAGCACAGTGGAGTGCGAGCGGGGCTTCAGTCGCCAGAACCGTATCAAGACGTGGAAGCGGACCTGCCTGGGCGACGCTAAACTGGGCGATCTGATGACTGCAGCGCTCCTGCCCAGTGATGGTCTGAACTGGGTGAATGTGGTAGCCGTGTTCAATGCCAGCAAGAAGCGCCGTCCTGCCCAGGAGTTTTTGTATTGATTTTGCTACTCTGCTCCCTGCTAGGAGTATTCTGCTGGAACCAGACCAGGCCAGACCATCCCATATGTAGGTCCTGTTGTTGTTCTAGTTCTAGTCATATATTTTATTGTTCTTTGCACATCATGTCAACCTAAACATTAAGCGTTGGTTAAAAAAAAATGGTACAACTAACCGAGGTCCACAGTACACTGACGAGCACGGGTAACAATGCAGCCAACACTGATACACAAGACTGACATGGCTGCCCAACCCTTACTGAAAGACCAGCTTTGGCAGCCTGCCCTTTCGACTAAGAGTGCTTCCAAACCTATCCAGAGGCCTGCCCCGTACTATCTTATCATTCAGCAGCAGCTAGTGTATGCCTGTTAGTGTAACGCGCGTCTGTAAAGCAGAACAAACACCTGCCTACCCACTCCCTCAGCTGGAGTGAGGGACACTAATGTGCTGGAAACAAATTAGGCATCATCCATTACAATGAAATCAAACGAACGAGCCTCTAACAGCATCCCGTCCTGCCCCGTGGCCTCCACTACACTAGTATTGCACACTATTCCTTGTAGAGAACAATTGTGTTTCTCAAACGGCGTTTCGTAACAAGCTGCGGCAGCAGCAGCACAACTCCCCTTGGTGCTGTATTGTCGACACCTCACTATTTTCATCATCCAGCAGCAACCAGGTCATCAATCTTTGTAACGAGCATTACTGTAGCAGAACAACCATCCTCCACCCTATCCTCCGCTCCCCGCTGATAAAAATTATTCATACTTCCAACACATTTACGACCAGCCCCGTCCACTGTCGTCCTTGGAGTCTAGAGGCATCTGAGTGAGGTCCTGCTGGCTGTCTACCTTGAAGGTGGCACCACACAGCTCCCCCTGGCTGTCCACGTGCTGAATGGCCTTGAGCTGCTTCTCTGGGTCCGTGAAGCTGCGCAGCCCACCGTCAGACGAGTAGAAGCAGCCTGTGGGAGTGGGGCGGGGTGGGGTGGGGTGACAAGTGGTGACAAGGGGCGACAAAGGGTGACAGGGCATGAAGCAGGGGTAACTTGGCTGAAGGTGGCGCCACAGAGCTCCCCCTGGCTGTCCACGTGCTGAATGGTCCCCCTGGCTGTCCACGTGCTGAATGGCCTTGAGCTGCTTCACAGGGTCGGTAAAGCTGCGCAGCCCACCATCCGACAAGTAGAAGCAGCCCTTGTGGGTGGGATGCGACGACGAAGGGTGGGGTTGGGTGACAAAGGGTGACAAGAGATGAGAAGGGGTGACAGGGGGCAAAGCGGGGGTAAGTCAGCTGGTAATGGGCTGAATGGCCTTGAGCTGCTTCTCGAGGTCCGCAGCCCACCGTCAGAGGAGAAGCAGCCTGCGAGGGTGTGGGGTGGGGTAGGGTGAGGTGGGGTGGGGTGAGAGGGGGTGGAGTGGGGTGACAGGGGGTGACAGGGACGACGCGGGGGTAAGTTGGCTGTCCACGGGCTGAATGGCCTTGAGCTGCTTCTCAGGGTCCATAAAGCTACGCAGCCCACCGTCAGAGGAGTAGAAGCAGCCTGCGAGGGTGTGGGGTGGGGTGGGGTTTGGTGACCTCGGGTGACAGGGAATGAAGAGGCAGCAATGGGCTTGAGCTGATTCTTGGGGTCGGTAAACTGCGAACCTCGCCATCCGAGGAGTAGCCTGCATGGGTGGTGGTGGGAGGGTGAGGTTGCATGAAGGGATGTGCGATGGGATACGTGATGGGATGTGTGATGGGGTGTGTGAACGGATGTGCAGTGGCATGTGGGATGGGATGTGTGATGGGATGGGGTGTGTGATGGGATGCGTGATGGGATGTGTGATGGGTTGTATGATGGGATGTGCGATGGGCTAGGCGGGGGAAGGGGAGGGGAGACGTACCGAGAGGGAACGGGGCGAAGGAAGAGCCGGTGCCGGCTTTGAGTACAGCAGGGTCGTCGGAGAAGGCGAGCACTCCATCGTCCAGGCACTTGCCCCAGTACAATGGCACCTTGCCTTGCGCGTCCTGACAAAGGGGAATGGGGGGAAGCGAGGGATGAGACAAAGGGCGTGCCGTAAGACTTAAGAAGAGAATGAGAATGGTCCGGGCACTTGCCCCAGTACTGGCACCTTGCGCGCCCTGGTGGTGGCAGTGGGGAGACGCGTAGGGAGGGACGTAGGGAGGGCACGGGGGTGGGTCGAGGGCGGATGTGAGCCACGGAAAAAAAGATCAGAAACGGAAAAAATCCGGGTACCAATTAAACGGATGGAAAGCGGATGAGAAACGGGTATTTCTCAAACAGGCTCCGTCACCTGATCCGATACAAGAGCAACTGCCTCGAGTGTTCCTGGAGAGGGAGAAGGAGGAGGCGAAAGAAGTGGGGAGGACGTTAAGGGAGAGGGGAGGAGGCATGCAGGAAGGGATGGATGGAATGGGGAGAAGAAGAAAGGACGAGACAAAATGGATAAGGGAGGGACATTTACAGACGTAACTGCGAAGAAATAAAGCGTTTCCTCACAAAATGCCATTGCCGAACGCTGACAAGTCGCTTGACCCGCGTTTCCTCTTCATTTCCCCCCTGGCTGATCATTTGCATGTACGAATCCTCCTCATTGCAATCTACATTCCCGTCCTGACTCATCGTCGTTAGTGCTTTGCTGTCGTCCCCCATTCCTGGATCACATCTTGCGTCCTTACCCCCTTCACCCATTCACATGCGCCACCTTGCGCCAGCATGCGGCACATGTCCCCTTCATTGTTAACCATTGGTGTCGTGTGTTACGAACGCGAACGCCGGTCCGTCTTAAACAGGTTTCCCCGTTTCCTGGTGCTCCCTAAACCCAATCCACCAACTCACATGCCACCAACACCTTACCTTGTCTTCGTACAGCACGAACGCGAATCTTGACCCTACCGCACCTAATTCCTACTCCCGGACTCCCCGCCCTATTCCCGCACTCACATGCGCCACGAACACCGTCTTGGCCTTGTTGTCGTACAGCACGAACGCGAACGCGCCTGCGAGATCCGCGATGACCTGGTCGGGCGGGTACGGGCGGCGGTCGCGCAGCGTCTTGTACGCCTCGATGATCAGATTCACCTCGCTCACGTGCCGGTCCAGCCCGTACCGCTGCCGCAGCTGCGCCAGGTTCTCGATGTTGCCGGCGAACGCGCAGAACACGTCGTCGCACGCCGCGAATTGCCTGGTGGAGCGGAGGGAGCAGAGGGATGGAGGCGAGATGCGTTAGATATGCTCACGTGCTGGTCCATCCCGCTCCCGACGGTACGTGATGTTCTGAACTTGACCCGCGAGGGGAAAGAGGTTAGGGTAGATTGGCGTCAGGGAGGAGGTACAGGTTCTGCTCCGATGCAATACATCAAGGATCCAATCTGACTGGCAAGGAAATGTAAGGTCGAGTGCACATGATATAGCTCACGAACGTGGTATTAGTGTTGTGAACAAAACCAATAGCGGACCAACGGCTGCTCTTGGTGGAAGGGCAGCTCACGCGACCGCCAGGGGCACGGACGCACTGAGAATGTCGAAACATCTGCAGACGACGACCCACCTGGGCATGAGAAAGTCTTGCATGTCGTGGGTGTACGCGATAGCGTGTTGCTCGTCAAACTGCATAAGCACGGCGCCCGGGTGCGCCTTCTTGAAGCCGTGGAGGATCTCCTTCGCGTCAAGCCGTCCCGACATGGACGCCGACCGGTTCAGCTTCGGCGCCATCAGCTCCTGCGGCGCCTCGCCTATCGACTTCTGGAAAATGGCCAACATGGCTGCAGGCGCTTCGGGTCGACCTGCTAGTGGAATGAACAGGGGAAGACGAGCCATATAGTTGGGAAAGTGGAATGCTGCAGGCGCTTCGAGTCGAACTGCTGGTGGGATTAGCACAGGAGAAGGAGCCATGGCGTCAATGAGGGAGGAATGCTGCAGGTGCCATCGGTTCCTCCGGCGCATGGCTTATGGACTTGTGGAAGATGGCCCGGATACATGAGAGCTTGAGAGCGTCGGACAATAGGAGGAAGAGGGATTTAAGAGGGGAAGGGGCGACAGGGGTGAGGAGATGAGCTTGAGACCTGACTCCTCCGGCGCCTGGCTGGCGAACGTTGTGGAAGATGTTGCAATGAACTGCTGAGCCTTTATTCATAATGTTTCACAGTGTTCACGGAAATGTGGAAGAGCTTACGGAACCGTGAAGCCGTCCAAGTGCTGTCGACGAGCGTCGCCTGGCAGCTTCTGACAACTTAGTGAATCGCGTAGTAATGAAAACCCGCGATGTAAGGACATCAGAAACGAGGATGCACGACGAATATAATGGACGAGTGAAGGAAGCAGTTGCGAAAGAAAGAGAACATTCGTTAACAGCCTTCGATCAGCCATGGAGCTTACAAAATGGAGAAGGCCAGGTAGACTGAGGGCCCCGCTCAAATGCGGGGTTCTTCGTGCGTTTTGAAATACGATAGCTGTGACTGCGAGATGATTAAATAGCAATACAAATTACTTTCCCCTAATGCGAGTACGAATCTTAGATAAATGCAGGACGAATGCTGCAGAAACGAACGCTGAAATCACGGCCGACACTGCTGGTTGAACGCGATACAGGTACGGTAATATGACCAGAAAATCAAGACGCAAAATGAGGAGGGAAATGTAACTGACGTGGAGAATGAATTTGATGATGCCAACAACAAAATGACAACTATGGCTAGCGAAAACGATGAGGAAGAGGAGCATGAGGAGGATGATGGTGGGGAACGACAATCCCAAGAAACGCTGCTCAAGCCCTAAGGTAATCCGCCAACGAAGGAAATCCACTGTCAGACATGGAACGTACGGTCTCGATTGGTTAATTTTCCAGATCTAACGGGTATGAACAGAGTCTGCCATCACTGTCACTGCAAAAGCTTCCTTCGTGGCAAACACTTGTCAACAATGTCATATCATGACGGGTCATGGTGACCCCTCGCACACGTCAGCGTCGAGCTGTTGGGCATTCTCGAGATACGGGAGTGCGCATGGGTCAGTCAAAACCTCCGTATTGGTCAGGTGTGTGAGCTGAGGTGTCAATACGAGTCAATCGGGCGCCCTACTGGCGGACTCCCCGATCAGTGGGTTACAACGACCCTGTTATCGTCGGGAGCGAATCGAAGCAGCTGAATTCGCGTGTGCTGTCATGTAACCACGTGAGAAGCCCCAAGATCCAGCCAGCACACCCTTCTGCTGAACACGTGCGGAGTTCCACAAAGTCGCTGAACAGATTTGTAAGATGGCATATCACCTTTTCATTACAGTACACTACCTGCATCATGTACACATTGTAGCTATGCATAACAGCAACCCTTGCTTTCATAAACCTCCCATCCATCTGTATATCACTTGGTATTTCCCGCTTCACGGACTTGCGCCTGCGCCTTCAACCAAGCAGTACATTCCTCGGTTGATTCATTATCTGGATTAGCTAACTGCCACTCCATCACTCGATCCATCTGCACACCACAAGCATAAACAAAAGCAGCGCATAAGAACTGGATGTGCCAAGGCCTGGGATGTGTCGGAATAGATGTGAACTACACAACCGGGAAGTGCAATCAACAAACTTCTGACACACTTGTTCACTTGACGTACCCAGTATCCGGTACGTGGGTCGCCTTTCTTGAGCTCCAGAGCAGCAACCACATCCCGGCCATTCAGTATGGGCTTCGTGTCCCACACACCATCCAAACCTGGTAGGGGAAGGGGTTGAAAGCACAGTCAAGTCAGCAAAAATGTCATCCCGTGCATTGAATATGGGCTTCGTGCCCCACACGCCATCCAAGCCTGGCCGGAAGGGAGGTTATGAATACGGCAGAAGCCTCAGAATAGTGCTGGTCGTGAAAACAGGGAGAGAGGGGGGTGGGGAGGGGGAAGGAGGGGGGCAAAAGATGCATGCAGACGTAAACACGAGCATTTTTGCCTGAGTCCTAATACAAACACATACCATGCCAACATCGGCAACTCATGGCATTCACCAATATGTGACATAAGAATCAAGTCAAAAGTCACCCCAATACAAGCACATACCACAACATGCTTGCACCCAATAGTGACCTCAACACAAGCACATACCACAACATGCTTGCACCCAATAGTGACCTCAATACAAGTACATACCCATGGCATGCACCGCTTGTAGAACTTGCAGATAAAACTCGCTCTGCTCACACCCCTTCCTTCCACTCCCCACATCCTCTCCTGCACCCCCTTCCTTCCCCTCCATCCGCCTCCTCTTGCAATCCTCCTCTTCCCTCTCTCCCTCGCCTCTCTCCCCCTTTGCCCCCTCCCCCTCCCGCCCACACTGTTCACTGCGGGCGGCCGATGAAACGGGCGGCAGAGTCGAGGCCAGCAGCACAGCGGATGGCCAGCAGCCCTTCACCTTGCGGAGCAGCTTGCCTGGGGAGGGAGGAGAGGGGATTTCGAAGGACAGGTGGATTTGAGTGAAGGGGGGCAGCAGGGGGGGTTTGGGAAGAAGGGCTTCAGAGCAAGGGGCAGAGTGGACGCTAGCAGCACAGCGGACGGCCAGCAGCCCTTCACCTTGCGGAGGAGCTTGCCTGAATAAGGGCGTGAGGGAAGAGAGATTGGGGGAAGAGGGGTTAGGAAGGAGGTTTTGAGAAGAAGGGCTTTTGATGAGGGGCAGAATAGAGGCGAGCAGCACAGCCGACGGCCAGCAGCCCTTCACCTTGCGGAGGAGTTTGCATGGTGAGGGAAGAAGGGGGGATGGAGAAAAGAAAAGGACAAAAAGGTTCTGGAATGGGGGGTTGGAATGCAGACGAGCAGCGCAGAAAGAAGCGCACCTGCCAGGCAGTACCCCACCAACCGCACTGCACTGCCAGCTCCAACTGCACCTGTTAGCACCCTTGCATGGCCTTAAACTCGGTTTTTGAGTCGACTCAAAAACCGACTGCCAGCTCCAACTGCACCTGTTAGCACCCTTGCATGGCCTTAAACTCGGTTTTTGAGTCGTCTCAAAAACCGACTGCCAGCTCCAACTGCACCTGTTAGCACCCTTGCATGGCCTTGAAACTCGGTTTTTGAGTCGACTCACAAACCGACTGCCAGCTCCAACTGCACCTGTTAGCACCCTTGCATGGCCTTGAAACTCGGTTTTTGAGTCGACTCAAAAACCGACTGCCAGCTCCAACTGCACCTGTTAGCACCCTTGCATGGCCTTGAAACTCCTCATGCCGGGGGTGGGATTCACGTGAGAGCTCGTGGTTCATTACCTGCCAGCACCCCACCAGCCGCACCTGCCAGCACTCTTACGTTGCTTTGGAACTCCTCATGCGGGGTGCGATCAGAGTAAGGCCTCGTGCCTTCTTACCTGCCAGTGACCCACCAACCGCACCGCACCTGTCAGCACCCTTGCGTTGCCTCGGAACTCCTAATAAGGGGGTGAGATCAGCGCGAGAGCTCGTGCCGTGCTACCCACTCCTCCTACTGCTGCTCCTGCTCCCTCTGCCCCTGCTGTGGCCAGCAACCGCACTGCACCTGCCAGCACCCAGCGCACCTGCCAGCACTCTTGGGTTGCCTCGGAACTCCTCATGTGGGGGTTGGATCAGCGTGAGAGCTCGAGCTTCATCACCCACTCCTCCTACTGCTGCCCCTGCTCCCTCTGCCCCTGCTGTGGCCAGCAGGGGCGCCAGGGCAGTGAAGTCCTCCGCTGCTGCATGCAGCAGCACCACCTGAGGGGGTCAGGGGGGGGTGAGGGAGCGTGGAGCAGCGGTCAGGAGCAGAGGTAGCGAGGATAAGGATAATGTCTTGTGTCCCTCCTGCTGCTCCTCCTGTGGCTTGCAGGGGCGCCAGGGCAGCGAAGTCCTCTGCTGCTGCATGCAGCAGCACCACCTGCAGGCGGCAGGATGGAGGGAGGGAGGCGGAGGGAGAGAGAAGATATGGATAATGTCATACTCCCTCTGTGCTTCCTCCTCCTTTTCCCTGTACTGCGGCCAGCAGGGGCGCCAGGGCAGTGAAGTCCTCCGCTGCTGCATGCAGCAGCACCGCCTGAGGGAGCAGCAGGGGGAAGAGGGAGCAAGGAGCAGAGGCAGAGAGGGCAAGAATGACTCCATAAGGCTTTTGCGTTCCCTCCAGCATCTCCTCCTGTGGCCAGCAGCGGCGCCAGGGCAGAGAAGTCCTCCGCTGCTGCATGCAGCAGCACCACCTGCAGGCGGCAGGATGGAGGGAGGGAGGCGGAGGGAGAGAGAAGGCGAAAGGGGGAACTTGACATAGGGAACTTCGAGGATCATCAAGAGTGAAAGAAGGTTAAGTGCTGTGTGAAGAGGGAAGGTAGCATTGAAATATTTGAACAAGAGGCATGTCAACATAGAGGGTGTGGGGGCACATGCCACATCAGCATAAAGGGTGGGGCCACCTGCCATTTCAGCATATGCTCGTTTGAGCTTGAGTGAGTCCAAAACAATGTGTTGTGCAAATGGCACCTGCAGCGAGACAAGACATGGAGAGGGGATGGGGAGGTTCGGGGGTTTGGGTTTAAGATTCCGGGGTTCAAGAAAGTGGAGGGACAGGGACAGGGGCTCGCTTGAGCTTGAGTGAGTACAGCGCGATGTGTTGAGGTCGTTTTTGAGGCGCCTCAAAAACACCCTGCAGGGGCTCGCTTGAGCTTGAGTGAGTCCAGCGCGATGTGTTGCGCGAAGGGCACCTGCTAAGGTACATGCAAAGACAAAGAGAAGGCTCAAATCTGAGGCGCCAAAGAACTCGTCTGATGAGGGTTTGAGGGTTTGCGGGTTTGAGGGTTTGAGAGGTCCTCTATCTGTCTGCTTCCTATCCAGGTGATGCTTGCGCCTAAGAGGCATCAGTCACAACCACAGGAGCAGCGGTGGCCGCCCCTCACCACCGCTTGTCTCTCACCTCTGTCATCTCGGTATCCAGGTAGTGCACGTGTTGGAGAGGCATCAGTCAGAACAGCAGCACTCCTCTTCATCCCTCTCACCACCTCTCCACACCTCGTTGCCAGTCTCCACCCCTCTTAGCTCTTTCTTCCTCCTATCCAGGTAGTGCACGTGCCTGTAAGGAATCAGCAGTGCTGCCAGCAACCCCTTTCATCCCTCTCACAACCCAGCTTTACCCCTCTCCACCCCTCGCCACCCCTCTCACCTCTTTCTTCTTCCTATCCAGGTAATTCGCATGCCGGAAGAATCAGCAGCACCGCCAGCACCTCTCTTCACCACTCTCCACTGCTCTCCACCCTTTCCTCGCCTCTTTCTTCTTCTTATCCAGGTAGTGCGTGTGCCTCAGAAACATCAGCAGCGCCGCCAGCACCCTTCTTCACCCATCACAACCGCTCACCACCCCATCTTCACCCCTTGTTACCCCTCTCCACCCCTCTCTACCACTCTCTCACCTCTTTCTTCTTCTTATCCAGGTAGTGGGCGTGCCTGAGAGGCATCAGCAGCGCCGCCAGCAGCAGCCCCACACTAAGGTCCGACAAGTGATCAATCAGAGCCTGCCACGTGGCACACATGCAGAACAGCAGAGGGAGTGAGTCAAGGGCCACAGATCAAGCAATACAAAAGCATGGTGCCGTGTGTGTGAAGATTTGTTTTGAGACATCTCAATACAAAAGCATGGTGCCGTGTGTGTGAAGATTTGTTTTAAGACATCTCAATACAAAAGCATGGTGCCGTGTGTGTGAAGATTTGTTTTGAGACATCTCAATACAAAAGCATGGTGCTTTCTGTGTGGTTCGTGAATGGGTTGCAGGCTGCATCTGGGGACAGGCTGCATCTGATGACAGGCTGCATCTGAAGGCAGGCTGTAGCTGGGGGAGGTTATATCTGGAGGACGGTTTAGGGTGAACATTACCTGGGGCAGGTGTTTCTCCCATTGGTGCAGGCGTGTGCAAGTGGCTGCAAATGAAGCTTCACAGAGGCTGATGCATGTGGGACGCCCCCCCCCCCCCCCCCCTCCCCCCCCCCCCCCCCCCCCCCCCCCCCCCCCCCCCCCCCCCCCCCCCCCCCACACACACACACTCTCTCAAACACACACACACACACACACACACACACACAAGGGAGTGAGTACAACGGACGATACAGGGAGTGAGTGCAATGGACGATACAGGGAGTGAGTGCAATGGACGATATATGGTGAGGAATGACAGCGTTTGGGAGAGAAGCTCTAGAGAAAATAGAAAAGTGGACTTGCAAGGGAAGTGAAAAACGAGGGGAGGGGGGAAAGGGGAGGGGAGGCGGATAGAAAGGGGAGAGGGGGAAAGGGTGGGGGGGTAGAAAGGGGAGAGGGGGAAAGGGTGGGGGGGTAGAAAGGGGAGAGGGGGAAAGGGTGGGGGGGTAGAAAGGGGAGAGGGAGCGGGGGAAAAGGCATGAGGGAGTAAGGGGAATTGGGACATGTTTGAAGCACAAGCCACATGTTACTGTCTCTGGTTACCACGTTACTCACCCAGGTAACTCGTCGTCAGGGGGCACATCAGCAGTGTGCGAGGGGGCGTGGGGGAGCGGGAAGACGGTGGGGAAGAGGTTCAGGTCGACCACCAGGGAGATTGCTGCGTAGGGATCGCGTGACTTCAGCATCAGCTCTACCTGTGAAGGAGAGGGGAGGGAAGAGGAGAGAGACACGGGAAGACGGTGGGGAAGAGGTTGAGGTCGACCACGAGGGAGATAGCTGCATAGGGATCACGGGACTTGAGCATCACCTGTACCTGTGAGGGGTGGGAAGAGAAGAATAGGAGGAAAGGGAAAACGGGTGTAAGGGGACAGACAAATCATGGCTAAGTGACTGAGTGAGGCCATTGGTACAAATTTGTGTTGATTGAGCATTCTCAAATGCGCCCAGTGAGACGAGTTTAGTGGTGCCTAAAAAAAGAGGCGCATTTTTGGGCACCAAAAAAAATACGTGTGTCGATTGAGTAATCCCAAATGCACCCAGTGGAAACTTCGTGCATCTATCCCGTACTGTACTCCATACCTCTATCCCATACCTCTATCCCATACCTTTATCCCGTACCTCTCTCTTACACGCACCTCTTTTCCGATCCTCTCTTTGCTGACTTTGTTTCCTAGCGCTGTCCGAACCTCCTCCGAAGCTGCAGCTGCCCGCAACTCCTCGTCCAATGAGAAGCCGAATCGGGCAGCTGAAAGGAACAGCAGGACCGCACAGCGGCAGGATGGGGGGATACAGGGGGGAGGGAGCGATAAAGGGAGAATGGCGGGATAACGGGGAACGGGGGGGTAACGGGGGAAAGGAGGAAACATGCAGTTGAAAGGAACAGCAGGACCGAACAGCAGCAGGACCACTCACCGAACCTGACAGCCCGAAGCACTCGGAGAGGGTCGTCGAGAAAGGTCTGGTGGGGAGGGAGAGGCGTGCGAATGATGCCCCCATTCAGGTCAGCGATTCCTGGGAAGGGGAGGGATGTGGGGGGGAATGAGGGGGTGGGGGCTTTGGTGAGTGTGGGGTGCAGGCTGGATGATAGGAAGAGCAACAAGGGTCGTATAGGGTCTGGTGGGAAGGGAGGGAGGGGCGTGTGGATGGGGCCTCCACTCAAGTCCAATATTCCTGAGTGGGGGAGGAGGGGGAACGGGAGGTTAGGTGCCTTGGCTGGATGATAGGAAGAGCAACGAACGAGGGTCGTATAGGGCCTGGTGGGGGGGGGAGTGGCGTGCAGAAGATGCCTCACTTTTGAGAATTCTCAAAAGCAGAAGATGCCTCACTTTTGAGAATTCTCAAAAGCAGAAGATGCCTCACTTTTGAGAATTCTCAAAAGCAGAAGATGCCTCACTTTTGAGAATTCTCAATAAGCAGAAGATGCCTCACTTTTGAGAATTCTCAAAAAGCAGAAGATGCCTCACTTTTGAGAATTCTCAAAAAGCAGAAGATGCCTCACTTTTGAGAATTCTCAAAAAGCAGAAGATGCCTCACTTTTGAGAATTCTCAAAAAGCAGAAGATGCCTCACCACAACAAACTCCTCACCTCGCTCGCCCAGTGGGGTCCTCCACTTGGATGTTGTAGAACATGGTGTTGATCGTCAGATCCCTCCTCAGAGCGACCCCCCCACCACAGCATCTATGAGGCGCCTCACTCTCCCCCTCCTCTCACCTCGCCCCGTGGGGTCCTCCACTTGCTCCGTTGAAATGTTGAAAAGCATGCGGTCGACGGTCAGGTCCATCCTCCACATATTCAGACTGTCGATGTTCATGTCTCGGCCCACACATTCATTCACTCACACGCCTCACCACTCCTCTCACCTCGCCCAGTGGGGTCCTCGATTTGCTCCGTGCTGATGTTGTAAAACATGCTGTTGATCGTCAAATCCCTTCTCAGAGCATCCTCCTCTGCTGTCCCAAACTCCTGCCACGGAAGCAACGGGGACGTGAGGGGGAATGAACAAATTGAAGCAATAGCAGCTCGCCTGAACCTTACCGTTCGGCCATACATCTAGGAAATATTGAGCTCTTACTATGGGAGAAAGGTGGGATTCTGGATTCGTGGGTGTACTATTGTGCCCTCTGAGACAGAGCCATATCAGCTAGTAACCCTGTAACCATGTCTAATACTGTAACCAGTAAGAGAGAGCACTCACAATGGTGTGAGGGATTCTGGAGTCGTGGGCGTACTCCTCGGCCCGCAGGTTCACAAAGTCGATCCACATGCCGTGAATCATCATCGTCGCCGTCTCCAGGTGCTTCGACTGGTCGGGGTTCCTGCAGGAGTAGGTAGGAAGCACACACATTGCCAGACAAGCGAAGGAGAAGTACAGTGGCGACATTTCACATGAACTACAAGCAAGCATGGTGCAAAGGTAAGCCACTCGAGTGGTGTTAAGGTAAGCACAGCCCCTTGCCCTGCATGGGCCAAGTGTGTTGGGAGTCGACTCAAACACACTACATAGACAGTAGCAACTTTTGAACTACAAGCGAGAGAGGTGGTAAGGTAAGCGCAGCACAGCCCCTCACACAGCATGGCCCAACCCTCGCCTCACTCCCCGCCACTCATTTCTTAAAGAACACTATGCCCAGAACGACCTCCCCTCGCTCCTTCCTTGGCCCAACTCTCTCAACCTGCATGCCCTAAACCGTCTCCTGACTTCTCTCCACTCACTTTCCCCCAAGCCCTAAACCCGCCACTCATTTCTGAATGACTTCCATGCCCAGCACGACCTCCCCTAATCCGTCAGATACTCCGTGACCCTCTCTGCAAACTCTCTCAACTCCCATACCCGAAACCCTCTCCTGACTTCCCTCCACTCACTTTCCCCCAAGCCCTAAACCCCCACTCATTTTCTGAATGACCCCCATGCCCCGCACGACCTCCCCTCGTTCCTTGAGATATTCCGTGACCCTCTCTGCAAACTCTCTCAAACCCTATACCCCGAACCCTCTTCTGAATTCCCTCCACTCACTTTCCCCCATGCCCTAAACCCTCCACTCACTTTCCCCCACGCCCTAAACCCGCACGCCCTAAGCCCCCCACTCACTTCTGGATGACCCCCACGCCCCGCACGACCTCCCCTCGCTCCTTGAGGTATTCGGTGACCTTCTCTGCAAACTCCCTCCCCAGCAGGTTGTCCAGAGCTATGTCAATGTCTATGCAGTCGCGCCCGATCAGCTGCGATTGAGTGGGATGGAGAGGGGTGCAGAGGGGTGGAGAGGGATGGGAGGGGGTGAATCAACAAGTTGCCTTCTCTGCATATTTCCGCCCCAGCAGGTTGTCAAGAGCTATGTCAATGTCTATGCAGTCCCGGCCTATCAGCTGCGATTCAGTGGGGTGGAGTGGGGTGGAGAGGGTTGGACTGGAAGCTGAGCAGGAATGGGCAAAGGAGAGAATGGACAAAAAGGGGATAAGAGGAATGGAAGGGAAAGCAAAGCGGGAGAGGGAAAGGGAGAGCATTAACTGACCTTCCCTGCGAATTGAATCCCCAGCAGGTTGTCGAGTGCAGTGGTGTCAATGCCAAAGAACCTCCCTTGCTTGCTTTACCCCTTTCCGGCCTCCCCCCTCACCTTGTCGCGCACCCATCCGCCCGCCACCCTCAGCTGCGTGCTTCCAGTCCATAGTGCGACACCAAAGCACGTCCCTTCGAGTGCTGCTCTCTTGCTTCACACCTCCTTTCTGTCACACCTCCCTTGCTTCACACCCCGTTTGCGTCACCACTCACCTTGTCGCGCACCCGTCCGCCCGCCACCATCAGCTGCGTGCTTCCAGTCCATAGTGCGACACCAAAGCACGTCCCTTAGAGTGCTGATAAGTGCCGCTCCTTTGCTTCACACCTCACCTTGCCAAATCTCTCGCTTCACCTCACCTTATCGCGCACCCATCCACCCGCCACGCGCAGCTGTGTGCCCAGTCCGTAGTGCGACACCACGTCCCTCAGAGTGCTGAACAAGTGCGACTCGTCCGCACTCAGCCGCACCTCCCCCGTCACCCGCACCGCCTCGGGATCGCCGAACGCCATCGCGGAACCGACGCGCGGCGGGCGCTTTAGCGGCTCCGCGAACTCCGCACCCGCTGACGTGGAAGTTACCGCTTCTGACGTGTAATTTTCACGCGCTGACTCAGCCGCGTCCAGGCTAGGATCTTCCGGCGCGGCCGTTGCTGACGTCGGCGCTGATCGTGGGACCTGAAATTCACGCAATTGGCTCCTTTGCAACTGCTGCTGATCTTGAAACCGCCCTTGGACAGACGCAAATTCGCGGAACGACGTTTGAGGTGAGCCAAGGTGCACTGAGGCGAATCCTCGATATTGAGTTTCTCGACTACTCGCTCCTGTAAAGGCTGCTCCTCCGGTCAATACCTCCCTTCCTGTTCCTGCCTTCGTTCCAGCTTCCCACCCCAAGCTGTGTTTCCCAGCAGCAGTAGTGCGAACTGAACGATTCGCTATAAAACGGGTGCTAAGTCTAGCAATCAGTTCTGGACTGCGTGGTCCAATCCACCCGTGCGCGAAAGCGTAAGCAAAGGTAAGCCGCGACGCGCCGCCGGAGTTAAGGACTTTAAACTGCGCCAGTTGCGCTTCGACGGACGACCTATTTCCACACAAACTTTGCAGCGGGTTCCCTGTCCTTGAATTTGAGAATTCGGATGGTGGTGCGAGGAAGGTTTTAGCAAGAAAATTTACGCGGCACCTTGGGAAGCACGGCGTGGATCGCGCAGAGCGGACTCGCCACGTGTCCAAACCCACGCGCGTCGCGATTGTCCGCTCCACTGAGAGAGGAACACAGTGCGACGCCACGGTGGCGAGCTCTTCAGGGAACCAGCTTGAGGGGAAGACTTCAGGGAATGAAGGTCAATGAGTGCTGTATCAAGTAGTAATTCCGCAGATTGAAACTGAAAGTTCCCAAGATATGGTATCATGCGATACAGGTTTAGATACGGACTTCTTATAACATGGAACGAATGATTTATTACCTCTACACCAACTCTTGCATCCATTAGGCCTTGCACTCCAGTCTTCCCCCTTCATGCCTTTATCTATAAGTTGTTTCCTGTTTTCCCCTCTTCTATTACGGTATTTGACAACTATCTCCTCTCACGCACACATACCCCTTCACCATTCAGTAAATTTACGTATTACGTGTAGGATTTATGCAAGAGCAAAGAAAATGTTGAGTCATTTGTGATCAAGTTTTGCCCCCACAGAGATTCAGAGTTGGTAACTCTGTTTTTTATACGACCAGCTATGTTTATCTGCTGCTGCTGCTTGTTTAACTGAGATCGTGCAATCCTTTAATGCGTGCATTGAACTGTATGATGAGCGTTCTGCAATTTCATGACGCTGCATGAATGAGCTCTCTACGCGGTTTTGTCGTGCCAATTGCGCTAGTTGGAGCCGTTTGACCATCACATGGTTGGCGCAACCGTGCCCACATATGCTGTCCAGTGACTAGCTGCCTGCGTGGATGGAACGTTACCCTCACACCAACTGATTCTACCATCTTGAGCCCACACCCTGTCCACGAACTTCTCTTACAGGATTTGCAAACCGCTGCAGCAACCGGCGGATGGAAAAGATAAAGATTTCCGTTGCGAGCAGATGCAGATGTCAAAGTCCACGCGAGGTTATGATTACAAGCCTTCAGCATGTCAACCATCTCGACGTGCAAAATATCTGTGACTTTTTGCTAGTTATTTAATCGGTGCTACTACATAAGTTGTGGTGCGCAGTGAGTGCACCCTGATGGGAGAGAGCTTCACACAAAGCCTGGATTCCACGATTTCCAGCTGTGAGTGGTGTTGCTATCACATCACATCACATCACTCAAAGCCCGAAAATTCCACACCCGGGCCCGCCCCTACAGGTGGAACCCGCAAGCCCCAAATCGAGCAGACCCGAAATCACGTGTGGGAAAATACATGCACAATTCATGGACACGAACAAAGGCGATGTGCACGTTGATGTGGCTATGATGGTGCCGCATCACCACCCTTTAGGATGTGGGCCCAACCGGGTTGAATCGCCTCGATTAGAAACAATCAACAACTTCCAAGAAGCCTGGAAGCCAATTTCATGCGATCGGGGGCAATCAGCTGATCGGAATATGATGATCGAACCAACTCGATCAGACCCGATTTACACCCCGATCAAACTCAATTTTCCTCAACCACAGGCAATTGATTGCATGTGATCGGGGGCCATAACGACTCCAGCGAAAGGTTACGCAGTTGTACTAGGTCTCGTCAAACCCTCGCTCATACATTGCGAATCACGAGAACTCTTTGGAACAGCCCTCGATATCGTGCGGATGGGGTTTACGATATTGCAGGGAAACAAAGATTTTAGTCAGGAGGCCTTGTGGTCGCCGTTCTCGCTAGAATCGGGAAGAAGTTACCAGGTATTTAAACCGCGCTTGCTGTGCAGGCGCTACAAAACTTTTTCGAAAAAACATTGCTGATCGGGCGGCGCGAGCAATGTGATCACAAGCAATCCGAGCCGATCAGATCAGTCGGGGATGAAACTCGATTGGGCCCACGTCCTTATGAGCGCAGGTTTTGAAATGGATTTCCTCTCCTTCCAGAATCAAGGTTATCGAAATTTTCTTGGTGTTTTCATACTGTATTGAGTGGGTACCCAATGCTTTCAGTAGGGTACTCATCCCACGAACTCCAAGCACTTACATCAAACCCGAACTTGGTGTTCAGGGGGCAAGCCCCCTGATCATATGTTCATTTTCTTTTTTTTCAAGATGAACTGATGTACAGACAGAAACACGTTATCCAAAAACTTGGAGGTGCCCCCAAACCCAACTTCGAAATGACAATATGCGCCAGTGGTAGGCCCCACATGACATTTTGAACGTACGCCAATCTACGGGATCCGATCGGACTCAGGACCACAAGGACACGATTCCTGCAATCAACTCCATGACACCTTGTTTTCGGGGGCTCGACCATGTACAGTACACGTAAAACCTTGTAGTAAAACCTGGTGCACGGTTCTTGACGTAATCCATGTGACCAACTGTGCTGGAACGTTCACTACACTCTGGCCCAGCTGTTTTGGGACCAAACAAGGCTTGGCCTGAATTTCGAAATTGGCACTGTATTGTACAGCCCAAACAATGAGGCAATTTCTACCCCAATTTCCATCAGTGTTACAGTGCTTTTATCCACTGATCGCCCCCCTGGTTGAGAAGCCCCCGCGGTTCATCACGATTCACAACCAAGCGTTTGGCGGTTCGGGGAACTGAAACAGAAGCACCACTGGACCAGACAACTAGAGATGACTTCAGTTACGAGAGCCCCATAGGACAGGAGTAGTACAGTACAGCAAGTGCGAATGATAGACATTCACTCTCACATAGCTCTCAGTCCCTTCCAAGAACGCCATTTCAAGAAAATAGATCAGACAATAACTACACGGAACCCTCTTGAAAGGTTAGTTAGAATCTCCGGCGCTAGTAGCTCTCCGCTTCAGCCATTCCGTGATTCAGACGCGCTTGTCAGTCGCATAGTAGCAGTGAACGCTACAGTTCAATTTCGTTTCAGACGTCGCCGAGTTCAAAATGATGCAATGTCAGTCACAGGTCGCCGTCATGTCCGGCGAGCCGCATCAATGGCGTCAGCACCAAAATCAGGACCAGCAAGGCTCGTTGAACAGAGACTGTCGCACAGCCGCTAGGTCACCCTCCGCCGAATCCGCCGCTTCTCGCGGCGGATATTCCGTGAAAGGGTTTCTGAACACGCTCAAGAGAGGGACTTCTGGAAGCAATGTCGCCATGCGCGGTAGCGCAAGCGGCGACAGTCCGCGAATAACGATAAGCAGACGGAGAACGTTAGCGGAGATGGAGCGACTAGACGTCAACGTCAGAAACCGCAGACCAGAGCCAATGAATACCTCTCCCTCAGCTAGCAATCCGAATCAGCCCATGCGGTCACCCTCGCAGCAGAAGCAGCCGTCGTATCAAGCCGCCCAGTTATCCCCCGTTGCGGCTCGACGACATATGATCCCTCAACAGAATACCGCGCCGCAACGCGCCGCGCCGAGTCCCCGCGGTCGGAAGCCGCCAATTTCTCCGCCGTCGCCCAAGCCCCCGGCGCTTTCGGCGGGATTCGCTGCCGTGGACGCATCTGCGGAACCTTCCGCGCACAATGTCGCGCGGAGATTCAGCTCTTGCCCCGTCCGGTCGGAGGCGCAACGTTCGCCGCATTCCGCTGCGTCAAATGCGGCGGCCTCCGCCCCCGCCGCTGCCGCTATTTCGTCGTTCCCGCTCGTTGGGATGTGGGCCAAGCAGACGAAACAACCCGCGGCGGGTGCGGAGGACGGAAGCGGAATTTCCACTCCCGCCACGGCCGGTGGTTCCGCGCGACGAGAAGACCGCGCGGGGAATGAGTTACTGCGCCCGTCCGCCAGCAGCGACGCTCGATGCAGTTCCGCGCGTCACGCACGCGGTGTTTCCGGCAGCGGGAGAAACATCGGCGAAAGTTCCGCTCGATACAGCCCCCGAATTGGGGATGCTTGTGCGTCTTTCGAGGAGACAATCGATGGAAAGCGCGACGAAGCCGCGGATGGCGCCGTGACTGACGGTGCGAGTGACGGCGCGAGTGACGGCGGTGATTCGGACGACGAGTTTGTGGGTCTTTATTGGACGGCCGTGGAGCACCGCCAAGCGGCAAACGCGGCGCTTTCCACGGCGCTGAATCGACTCGGGGTGGGCGCAAAAGGGGGAAGAGGGGACGAATGTTTGGTGGGGGGAAGCGCGCGGCACGGCGGGCGCAGCAACGATGCGGAAGTGTTTGGCGGAGGGGGGAAGGCGGAAGGGCTCGGGGGAAGGCGGAGGCGGAGCAGCAGCTGGGGCAACCTCGCGGAGTCGCAGCATCCGCTGCAGGCTGGGGAAGGGGACGGAAGCGGGCGGTTCGCGCGGCGACAGGTGGGGCAGGTGGGATGTGGGGAAGGCGGTTCAGGCGATATCGCTACGGGCTCGGGCAGGCTCGGAGAAAAAGAAACCGCCGCTGCGGCTGCCGCTGCTGCTGCTGCTGCAGATTTCGCTTTTCCAAATACGGCGCGGCTAGTAACGGGGTTGCGTGTAGCGGGGATGAGAGCGCGCGGCCGGGGCACAGGCGGCGGCACAGCATCACGTGTATCGACACGGAGCTGAAGGAATTCCTTGACTTGGTTGACTTAAAGGGGGAGGAAGCTGCGGAGGAAGCTGCGGAGGAAGGGGAGAATGGGGAAGCGGCGGGAAAATCGGAGAAAGAAGCGGAGCACCCCGCTTGTCAGGAGGGACACCAGGGAGGGATGCGCAGAAATGGAGGGAATGGAAGGAATCTTGTCAGGAGAGACACCAGGGGTCGCCCAGGTGCGATCCCCACTGCGAATGCGACTGTTCGTTCTCCTGCAGCAGCAGCAGTAGCGTCGCCGACTGGGAATAACCCCGCGTCTATGCGCACTAGTAACCCTTAGCCTCGCACGCATTCCGGTCCACTGCTCGCAAACACCCACGCTGCCACCAGCGCCAGCCCGTTTGCGCGCCGCCCCGCGCGGCGCCGCAGCCAGACGTGCATCGACGCGGACCTGAAGGAATTCCTTGACCTCATTGACTCGGACGAAGGGGACGAGACGGATGAGGGAGAATGTGTTCCGCGGGACGAGCGGGAGGGAAGAGAGGGCGGGGAAACGGGGAAAGGTGAAGGAGGGGAGGGAGAAGGGCGAAGGGTGAGCTTTGAGTTTGTTACGCCTGAGGCTGCCTCCTCTGCCCGTCGCAGTGCTGCTGCTGGCGCCGCTGCTGCCCCTGCTGCTCCTGTCAACGCAGCAGCTGCTGAGCTGCTGTTCAAACCGTGGAGGCCGGCGGCTATAAGCCCACCAGCTCTGGCAGCAGCTTCGGCATCAGCTTCGGCTGCAGCTTCGGCGTCAAGTTCGGCATTGGCAGCAGGACCTCGCAGCCATGGGCGACGGCACAGCATCACGTGCATTGACACGGAGCTGAAGGAATTCCTTGACCTGGTTGACCAGGAGGATGACGTGGAAGAGTATATGAGTACCCGAGTCGTGCATCTCCCCGCACCGCTTTCCACCGTTACAGACCCCCTTGTGCCAGCAGCATACAGCGCAAGAGCAGCAGCGGCAGAGGAACGCACAGGAAGCGGGAAAACCCCGTCTGGCTCCGGTTCCTCCTCCTCCTCCGCCTCTGTTTTCTCCACTGCCCTCACGCCTCTAGCCCCCGACGACCTCCCTCTTGGGTACTCCGCCTCTTCCCCCACTCCCCTCTCTCCAGCCTCATTAATTTCCCCATCAGCCAGCCCCTTAACGTCCCCCTCAGCAGCTGCTGCTGTGGCTGGGTTTCCGCGGCACGCACCAGCAGCACTGGCCCCTAATGGTGGTGCCAGCACGCCTAAGGGCGGGGCCATGGCAGTGCGCGCAGCGGCAGGGGGTGCGAGAAGAGGAGGGTGTGCGGGAGGTGACTCGAGCAGGGTTGGTGTGAGCCGCTCTGGTGGTGTGGCGTCTCTGTGGGCTGCTGCCTCGCACAACCCTGCCATCGCTCAGTCGTGCCGCCGCCCTGCTGCTGCTGCTGCTGCTGGTCCACCTACTGCTGTGGCTGTCGACAGGGCTGCTGCTATGGCTCCAGCCATTGCTGTTGCTGCCACAGACAGGGCGACTGCTCGACCTGCCAACCCGCTGCGAGTGAACGGCCGGCGCCTCAGCGCGGGCGACCTCAGTGCTCTGCTCGGCGGCAGCAGCTTTGAAACTAGCGATTCTGACTACACGTCTGGTTACCCCACTGGTTACCCCACTGGTTACCCCACCAAAGACACGGGTGTAACCATGGCTGTGGATGTGACCAGCAGCGGCGGCGGCAGCAGCAGCGAGCGGTCGAGGCAAATGTGCTTGAATGAGGCGCGGCAGATCGCTGGGGTCTGCTACCCCTCACTTGCAGCCGGCTCCCCTGCTCCTGGTCCTCCTGGCCCCTCTGGCCCTTCTGGTCCTGCCAGTCCTCCTGGCCGTGTCGGGCCTCTCGGGTCCCTAGGCCCTCTCGCCCCTCCTCGCCCTGCTTCCATTGGCAAGCCGCTTGGAGGTGACATCACCAGGCTGTCCGAGTCTCCCCGAGCTGCCCCTAGAGTTGGTCAGGAACTTCTTGGGAATGCTCTGCCGGGCAGTGCCTGTGAACTTTTTCCTGGCCGTGGAAAGCTGCTGCGGCCTGGCACTCCGGGAGTGCCTTCCCTTGGAGGGGCTGGGAGGGCTGCTGATGGTGCTGTGTCTACCCCGGTTGCTGCTGCTTCCCCTCTGGCTGCTTCTCCTGGTAAAGGCTTGCAAGCAAGGGCCCATCACAGGCGAAGCAGCAGCGCGGTGGTGGTGCCTCAGTCCTGTGAGTTGCTGGGTCAGGTTTCAGCTGGATCTGGGCCTGGTTCAGGGAGGATCTCAGTCATGGGTGTGTATTCTCCCATCAGTGCTGCGGTTCAGAAGGGAGCTTGTGCCACGCGCCCCCTGCGGGAAACCGCAAGTGCTCGTGCGTTGAATGCGAACTCCATAGCACATGCTTTGGAAACTGCTCAGCTGGGGCAGGCTCAGCCGGGAATTGCTTAGGGACTATGATCGAGGCGCAGCTCATTTTTTTTTGGTGTTGCATAGAGGTTCGGATGCAGGTATATTGTTCACAATTTTTTGCTATGGCTTGTCTTGGTTGATTTGTCCTAATAATGTCTTACTCCCTATATCATGTTTCTACAGACTTGAGAAATCGTAATTTTGAGAAGTTAGTATAGCCGATGACAAGTGAAGCTGCCTGTTGGGGTGGATCTCGTTCAGGCACCGAAATGCCGTTGTGGGACTGAGCAATTTCAATTGAGTTCTTTGATTGTGATCGTGCTCTCAGTCTCGCAAACGTCGCAGAATCGGATGAGTCGGATGAGAGAATCCCGTCCGTTAATCCTTGCATCGGGCGGCCCAGGGTGTTTTATACACCCCCCTAAAGTGCACAAACGAGCGAGCCGCTTCTCTGCGCAATTGGTCCAGCATTTCCAGCTGTTCACGGCGCAAGTTCCCTATCCCCCATTCCCCCACACCCCGCTGCTGGTGTGCAATGGCAGTGTATTTTACTCCCCGGAACAGAACACAAGTGGATACACACGATGCCCGTTTGACTAACCCAAGGTTACCTTGCTAAGAGGGCTCTTAAGTGATTCTTGCATTTCGCTAAGCTTTCGTCAATTCGCACTTAGCAAAAAGGGCTTTTAAAAGATTTTGTAACTCGCTGTTGACCGTTTGACATGGGTCTCTTCTGTCAAACTTCGGTTTTTGTGGTTCGCATTGCTCGAGGTTCTTATAAATGAGGTGCAACTGGCTGGTACCCTAATACACGGGTGCAGATTTTCCATCGCGGGCAGAGAAAATTCGCGTGCAGGGGTTGGGCATCTTGTGTAGGTTGGGCTTGCGGTGCGCAACTCCTTGCATGGCAGCGGGGATTATTGCTGGTGCACTCGGCCGTGCTCTCGTTCGCTGGCCCGTGGTGGAACAACGTTTCGTTTACGATGGCGCAAAAAAATAAAACCTGCATGCGACAATGCCACAAATCCGTTCGCCAATCTCCAGCCAATCCGTGCTCAAATGCGACCACTCAAATCGAACGAAGCCTTCCCTCTGACGCCCTCCCATTTCGCCGTCAAAAGCTCAATCGCAGACAGAAAAAGAGACGAGAAACAGCACCACCATAGCTGACTGAGTGATCGCTAAGGGTGACTTGTTGAATAGCAACCACCACCTCTAAATTTCCAGCATATTTTGCTAGCTAGAGCTGAGAAACCCAGCCAGCTTTTAGTTATTCGTTCCTGGAGCAGGGATTAGCTCGACACCCTGATAGCTGGTTATTAATCAGAGTCTTGCGGAGGAAGGTTGTGGCGTCTGTGCGCTTGCACCCGTATGAAATCTAGTCGAGGCGCAGGCCAGCGCCTGTGTCAACTGGCAACAGTTTCCATCGTCGACTCTCCGGTCGTTTCAACACGCAGCAAGCATCACGTACGCGCACATGGTTAAGCCACCATATCTGTCGTCTCTTGCAAAAACGCGTCGTCTTTGGTGGAACTGAAAGTAGACTGTTACATTTTCCAAACTCTACGAAGTATTCCGGCTTGTTGCCCGTTCTCCACCTGTTTCCCGAGCTGTTGAAGCCTTCTATTGACCAACCGGCTTATGTTTCCGCAATTCAGATGCATATCGTTTTACTTCCTCGTAAAGTCAGCCACGAGTCTAGGCGGTGTTCACATGGCGGTTGAATATTGTACGGTCGTTAGATCAGATAACATTATCGTCCGTGCGTTTCTTGATGGCAGAGCTCGTGACTGATGGAGCTCCAATTGCAGAATCAGGACGCTGACGCGGATCCTTGTAAACAGCAACTCATGTTCGAGTTCGCGTTATTGGATGGCCTTGAAGTTTATCCTGCACATCTCCTCTTAGGAGTTCACCGCCATTTTATGCTCTTCGCGTTGACAGATCACGTCAGCAGGAGGCTGGGAAAGGAAGTGCCCGGAAACAGAATAATTGAGCATTTGGAGAGTACCTTCAACATGGAGGGACTGAAAAATCGGCTGCTTGGGGAAGAAGAGGCATGGCTGCAGTCTCTTAGTGAAGAAAGTTTTTCCCTGTCAAGTTCTCTTGGATCTCAAGAGCAATCTGATGGCTGACTAACCCATAGCTAGTCTGGGTGAGTGTACGGTTTGTACTATCTTCATCCAGATTGTACCAGGTCTGGGTTCATTGCCTGCGTTTTCTGCTAGTTTTGACAGTGTACAATCTGTGCAGTCATTATGTAACATACGGTACCATGACAAAGATAGTCACCGTTAGTTGCCCTACCTTACTAGGTAGAAAGGCAGGTAGCTAGGTAAACCAAAGGGTGTGTTGATTTTTTCAGGCAATTAAGTCTCTTCTAATTTCTTTCATGTTGGCATGAATAATAATTAAAAGTTGGTCACTATTTTGCCAACCTGGACCAGCGGCTACTCCGCGTTTTGTGTTATCAAATGCTAGTTCTGGGCACTGTGACCAATACTTGGCGTCTCATTTTCCCCGTGCCAAAACATGACTGGTAATTGATTGTTTGGGAGAGATGAGCCATCTCACAATTGTGTACATAAATTCACTGATGTATCGAGGCCCCTTTACAGTCACAGCACGCTTGGGAATGTTCGAACATACGGTACAGTACAGCAAAAGAGAAGGCCAACTGTATCCCAGATTCCGCGTCAAATTCCAACGGCCGTCAACTCACATCCAGATTGGTCAAACCTCCACGTCGCTCTATTCGAATGTGCAGCCTAGGTGTACGGATCAATACACCCACTTATTCGTTTATCTCACCAAGCGCGTTTTGGTCGGAGGTGCTTGTCGTTTTTGCCCGGTGCTTTTAACGTCTGCGAGTCACATTTCCCTGCGTATTGCCGTCCCTTGCTCCCAAAATGTGGCTATAAATACGTTTTTGCAACTGTAGGCCGGCCTGACCTAATCATAACTAATAAATTTGGCCTCGTCTTTAGCGCGAATGCGTGCAACTGTAGTGCTCTGCCACCAATTTTTTTCAATGTTTAGCAATTCAATGCTGAACTGATCACGCGCGTGAATCGATTCTATGTGACGTAAACGCATCGCTCCCAACCTTCTATGTGAACGTACCGAGCTGGTAGCACAATCGCGGATGCATCAAACGAATAAGTGGGTGTACACAGCACAGCACTGTACCTCTCGTTTTTTCGGCCATCTTGAGATCTGCAGTTTCATAGCCTGCCCAGACCATTCTATTACTGTATTGCAGCGGTCAACTGTAGTGTACGATGTTTTGTTCTTCTCGAAGGGTAGACAGGGTAATTACCATATGCCACATCCCGGACGGAACCCCCCAATCGCGACGCGCCTGTCAATGGCACTGTACACGACCCCCGTCTTGGATGGTGGGCTTCTGCACACCGACTTGTTGACCACTCTCCATCCAACACATGACAAACAAAAAACAAGGGAACGAAAGTGATTGGCCGGGTGGGCGCAAGGGAGTCACAAACACACACTGTACACTTGTTCCATCTCATCTTTTCGCAAACCAAACTACAGTAGTGACTCACACCCGGCGTGAGGAAAAAAACGACGAGTGAGAGAATGTCACTACAGTATTGTATTTGTACGTGTACACCTAACCACCGCTATTTTCTTTTGGTCTATTTTCAACCCCACTTGCACAAGTGGGGTATGCACCCTTTCTAAATCTGATGCTTGGGGCTTCTCGGCGGTTTCCCAATGAATAGAGCCTCTTACCTGACAATACGCGAGCTCAACGTCAACGGGCTCGGGAGCAGAGGGAAACAGAAACATCTGAAGGCATGGTTAAAGAAGCCACCTGACATTTTCGTCTTAGCTGACACACGCATTGGTGCAGATCACGTCTTCTGGAAGAGGCTCAAAGTTCCACACTGTCACGCCATTGGTCCTGCGGGGAAGGCAGGGGGGGTAGCCATCTTAAGCTTTAACAAGTCTCTCGTTTTCACTAATATTGTCGCGCACAGTTCGGGCCGGCTGCTTCAGGCTGATGTCCAGTGGGACTCCTTCTGCTGCACGATATTGGCCGCTTATTTCCCGGCGAAGGCCTGCAGGCGGCGACCGTTTTATGCTGGCGTGCTTGCTCCTTTCATGGCGAATTCTGCGGGGAAGAAAAATTTCATTCTGATAGGGGATCTTAACATGGTGGAGGACCCTCTGCTGGACAGGTCGTCCGGAGCGGGTTCATCGGGCGAGAATAGCAGCGTTATGCAGATTTGCTCTGCACACTGCCTTGCCGATGCTTTTCGCTGGATGAATCCGGTGCTGAAGGAGTTCACTTTTCTATCCAGGTCTGCCAAGACCAGCTCACGTATTGATCGGGCTCTCGTCTCAGCGCCGCTGATGCCGTTGCTCACAGATGCGTCGCATTGTCGTCCGCTGAAAGGCCTCTCGGATCACTGGTTCGGGGTTAAGGTGACCTTCAAAGTCAGCCTGCAATTATGTATGGGGCCTGGCATATGGAGGTGTAAGGCAGCAGAGGTCAGCAAGCTGGGAGCGGCAAAAGCGGTTGCCGCAGTCCGAGAGGAGCACGGGAAAACGGGGACGGGGGACTTTACCGCGCTCATGAGGAAAGTGAATATGGCGTTGCGGAAGTACTCTACGGAAGAGCGGAAGCGGGTTAAAGCTACTCTCCGTCACCTGGATGCGGCGGTGGCGGTTCTGCAGCAGGAAGTGATGCGGAATCCCTACTGCTCGGCCCGGAGGGAGGAGCTGAGAGCCAAGGAATCTCAACTGGCGGCATACCTCGCCTCTGAGCAGGAGAGGCTCACGCTCATGATGGGTGCCAAGGAGCTGCACGAGGGAGAGATGCCTGGCAAGCTCATGCCTGCAAAAGTCAAGACACGGAAGGAGAGAACAATGATCACAGCGCTTCAGTGGAAGGGTACGGTGCGGAAGGACTCTAAGGGGATACTCGACGCCGCATCCGAGTTTTATGCGGAGCTGTTTTCGGAACCCACCTCGGCGGGTGGTCCACGTTGGCAGATTGCTCCTGACAAAAGGTTGGGTGAGGCGCAGGTCTAGCTGTTGTCAGCAGAATGGTCTGAAGCGGAAGTGAGGGAGGCTCTGGACGGCATGGCGAAAGGCAAATCTCCTGGGGCTGACGGGATTCCGAAGGAGTTTTTCTGTGAGCACTGGGACTTGCTGGGAGGAGATGTGCTTGGGTTCGTGAAGCAGTTCGAGGAATCTGCTGTCCTCCCCCCTGCCGCTCTGGAGGCGGTCACGGTCCTGTTACACAAAAAAGGCGCGAAAGACCAGGTGCAGAACTACCGGCCGATCACGTTGCTCAACAGCACATACAAGTTAGTGGCGCGGGTGCTGGCAAATAGAATGCGGAAGGTGCTACATGCGGTTGTTTCAGAGGAGCAATATGGGTTCTTACCTGGGAGGAGGCTGTCGGATGGAGTCTCGTTGATCGCAAACATAGTGGAGCGGCGAAGTGCAAAGATGAAGACTGGTATTTACTTCTGGTGGACTTTCAAAAGGCCTTTGATTCAGTCTCGCGCGAGTACCTGTTCGGCACAATGGAGAGAATGGGCTTCCCGCGGCGGTTTGTGCAGTGGTGCGAAGGCCTTCACGCGGGTTCAACGACGAGGCTGTTGCTCAACGGATGGTTGGGGGAGCCGGTAGCGGTCAGGAAGGGGGTGCGGCAGGGCTGTCCTCTGGCGCCGTATCTTTTCCTCTGCGCGGTTGAGCCTCTCTGCCAGGAAGCAAAAAGAAGGAAACTTGGGATCAGCAACCCGTACGGCGAACGACTCGCGTACCTGGGGTACGCTGACGACACCACGCTGGTGCTCAAGGGGAAAAGGCAGGTTGGACGAGCGGTGAAGCTGCTGAACGAGTTTGGAGATCAATCGGGGCTCCGGGTTAACAATGACAAGTCCGCGCTGATGCCCTTGGGGAGGAACCTGCGTAAGAAGCCAGACAAGAAATCAGCTTTCATATGGGTGCTGTCGAGCGAAGCGGAAAGGGTCCTGGGGGTGTGGGTCTCACCCTCAGGAGACGCATCGGTAACCTGGGAAATCACCCTGGTGAGGGCGACATCGGAGCTGGTGAAGTGGCAGGTTCATTACCTGACTACGTCTGGCAGGGTCGCAGTGGTCAACGGGTACATCAACCCGATCCTCGCTTTCCAGGCGCAGGTCTATCCCCCTCCAACAGAGATCTGGGCGAAGCTGCTTCACAACTTCGTCACCGGTAACCACTCGACGGCGGGGAAACAGTTTGCGCTCTGGAGTCAGGAGCTGCTGTTCAAGGGGAGAGGAGAAGGTGGTCTTGGTGTCCGGGACCCGTGTGCTGAGCTGGGGGGCCTGGCAGCCAGGAGGTTCGCATTGCTGGCGTCACAGCCGCTGGGGCTGCGCGCCGATCTTGCGCTAGCAGCACTGGATGTCCCTGATCTTCAGGTTTTCTGGGCGCACACGGGGTTGATAAAGCAGTTGGAAGGGAGGTGTATGAGGTGGAAGCGGACCTGCGAGCTGTTCCTGGAGTCTAGCTTCCCCTCGTGCATCAGCGTGTCGTCGGTTTGGGATGTGGAACAGGAGCTGCTGCTCTTCAATCGGAGGCTGCTTCTAAACGGGAAGACACCTGCGGGACGGCAGAAGGCGGCTAAAGGTCTGAAGCGGTCTGTCATGAAGGACTTAATTAATGTCGCCGAGGACGGTTCGAGGGCTCTTAAGGGCACCCAGGAGCTCGAGCGGGAGTTCGGGGGTTCAGCAGGGGCGAAGCTGGCGAAGAGGGTTTTTGACGCTGCCCC